CATACAACCCAGGAGAAATTGAACTTAGCTTTTATAATTTGTTCATATGTAATAATTTATAAAAAATGAAAGCCTAAAAAAACTATGTGAGGGTAGCGCAACCACTTTGAACCACTCATTACATTTAACTAACAATCAAAAGATTTTCTTTCTCTAAAATGTGGTAGAAAGAAATTATAGTGTTTGTTATAACCAGTTACATTTGTACATATATGTCTGGCGCTGGTAACCCACATGATACACCAAAGGCAAACCTACTACTAACTTTTCTGGAAACAAGTAAGCACATATATTCAAATGTTTCCTTTAATGTAAGGTGAAACAGTCTCATGAAAGATTGCACATCATGGTCTCACCACTGCCTACTCCTTCAGAGCTCAGGTTGTAGAGGTCTATTTGCTACGCATTATCTTTATTATGAAATTGTATCTGTTGTCCATTTTCCAAATAATATTATTCTCGTTTTCCTTGAGTGATGTCTCTAAGTCCCTCTGTCAGTCTTAAGGGGTAATTCATGTTTAATGTTAACCCATGTCCTCATGCAGTTCAGTGAACTGAAGTATATGAAATAGTCACAAGTCAGTGGTATGTGTGCATCCTACATGGCATTACTCTTTGCCGTTTGAATATGCAATCTGTCATGTCAACATCTACACATCCTCAGTGACACAAAACATGCTGATGCCAAGTAGAAGAGCTCAGATTTTAAACATGTGTGAATATAGGACTTGATGGACACAAACACCACACCAAGTAAATGCTAATCACAATAAATTAAACTAATATTAATTTCCAGGACCTTTTCTGCTGCTTCCAAGTGACCAAAACAAACATGTAATATGTTTCCTGGTCCTTTACCAGGAGTGAGAAATGTGGTATGCAAGCTGAGGGTCTTGATAATGAAGCCTTCCTCCCAACTGGCAGTATCAACAACCCAAAGCGACTTACTCTCCATAACTCCCAACAAAGCAATACATGTTACCAATTATTGCTGTTGTAAATATACATGTTTGTCATTCAGACTCGAGATCATCTAGTATACTGTCTTTTTAAAGGTCGAAAGTGGGGATTGACACAGACTGGAAAGTGTCTAGGCAGGAGGAATTTTAGTCAGAATCAAACTCAACAGCACTTCCCTGAGTCTAAATAACAAAATAGTGTTATCAGTGAGTGGAGCTGATAACTAGTATTAGTATGTCGCTTGCATGCAAACATAAACAGAGTTACTCCGATGATGTAGTGAGTTCTTGACTTTTTTCCCAATTCCAGTGGTCCTGGAGTTATGCCCATCAGGATTCCTGAATATGTTTTCAGGGGTCTTTGGGAGGTCTTCAGAGGTCCTCAAATGCTCTTTAGTGACTATTAAAGGATATGTAAATGTACAACTAACACAAATTAGGGAGTGTGTTTTTAAAAATATTTTCATTGCTAATTTATTATTCGAACATTTCCAGACTTAAAGTGACCTACCCATTCAAATATTCCTTCTATAAGAGTAGCATTTTACACACTAAAATTAACTAAGATATAAATAGCAACGGTATTAGTGTTTATTGTATTATTACACCATTAAACATGGGTCTCACTGAGTGCTTTATCCAAAGTATTTAATCAATGTCATTCATCAGCAGAGCACATGTTGCTCCAGCTGTGGTTGATGCAATTTATTTATTCATTTTTGCCAGATTTCCACCTAGATTCATAACGGCTCAGTCAATTTCCTTTTTTATCTGCAGGTTTCGCTGTGAGGCTCCAGCCTTTAACAAGACTTCAAATTTCTTATATGACAGGAAACCTAAACCACGCACAGTAGCCTATGTACGCTGGCAAGACAGCTTATGTCAACTTGTTGGAAAGCTCATAAAGGCCATGATTTGGTATAGGATATATACCTATACCGTGGTGGTATTACAATAGCAAAAGTATGCAGTGTTGTGTTTCCCCACTAACTTAATATTAGTGGAGAATTATACTTCTGCATTTCCTTGTCATGGAATATTTAGCAGCCAATTAGACTCCCTTGAGATTACAAAGGGATATTAGCCCTCTAATTGTTATTATAATTAAGATCAAAGCAGAAAAGTTGATTTATTTAGGTCATTTATTCCTAAATCATAACAACCACAGCTCTTTGTGAAGTAATTTGATAGCTCTCCTTTTCTCTCTCTGGGCTGAACTGGAAGTAGCTGTGAAGACAAAGCCCAGAACCTGAACTACCGATTCATTTTTTTAGTAAAAGAAAGAACGCTATGTAACTGAATAGAAATAACTGTAGATGATATCAATATAATTGTCATAATATATGTGACAAGTTATAAAGAATAACCTTGGCCGTTAAATAGGGACAAATGAACAGGAAGACGTCACGTAAAGCCGCTGGCTTTTAGTCACGGGGAGGTGGTCACCGGGTTCGATTACAATGTGAGCTCGGTGTCAGACTTACTGATAAAGCTGAGATGTAAACGTTTTGCTGTATGGAATGGTCTATGTGTTTCTTAATTCCATTATTATTATTATTACAGATTATAGTCATGCGTTTTAATGAGATCATTCATAAGATTATTTTGGGGAGCCCTTCACTGTCAATGTTTAAACTGCAATTTCTGAGCTTG